TACCGCGATCTGTGAGGCTCCGGTAGATTCCATAGAACTTTACGATCTTTTAGCACCTAAATCCAACTTAGAGATATCTTGGGTTGTTGCTTAAAGGTTAATTTGCTAATTGCTCGAGAGAGAGTTAGTGGAATATTAGGGGATTTGGCCTTTAGGATAAGCTTAATTAGGTTAGCAATAATTGTCAATGCATAGGAGTAAATTGGTGCGAAATCTATGCCCTAGGTTTAGTCATACTGATCTTTAAATCAAAGCTTTAACAAATTCTGCATTTATTTAGTTTTTAGTTTGTTACGTTGTCATTAAAGCTTCTCTTAAAATTCTGTTTTATCAAATAGCAATAAGATATAATAGTTTGGTACTTGGTAGGTAGTTCCCTTGGGATTCGACACTCGTTTACTCGAACTTTATTACTTGCACGATTTCGTATACTTGCGAATTGTAACGCCCCACTTGAGGTACATAGTTAAATTATTGTTGCATTACTTGAATGTTTATTGATTTATTCTCAACTGGGCTTGTATATTGTTAATATTGGTTGGTTGGCCCTTAGTTGAATTTTGTTGAAGTTATTTTGAGAAAAATGTGAAGAAAATCCCTTAAACTTGCATTAAGGGTAAAATGGTCTTTTCACTCAAAATTAGTTGAAATTGTGGGGAGTGAAAAGAGATAGAATTTCATGGAGAATGCAATAAAAATGAGGGCATTATGGTAATTGACTAAGGGACATAGATGAAATTTTAGCGAAAGTAAAAGGGCAAAATGGGAAAGTGTGGTTATAAATTAAAGTATTAAGGGTTTGAAACCCTTATTTTCGTTCATTCCACCCCCCACACTCCTCCTCCTTTTTTCTCTCAAATTTTCATTCACTTCTCCAAGGAATTTGAGGGCTTTTGAGTAGATTTTCATAGGATTTTGATTCAAGGCATCAAAAGGTAAGGATTCAAGCTCTTTATCTATGATTTATTTGTGTAAAGGTTGAGTTCTTATGAAGTTTATGATTAGGGTTAAGAGAAGATTGGAATCCAACAAGAGTAGAGAGCTTAGGAGAGACTACTCAAGCACAAGGTAAGTAAATCCAACCAAGTTGAGATTTGAGAAATCTTTTGAGTAGTGATTTAGTAGAGATTTATATATGCATGAGTATGTTATGCTTGCTCAGAAATTGAGTTGAGATGAGAATTTATTCTAGTGTTGTTGGATGTACTTTAATTATGAGAAGTGTTTGATGTGTGAAGAGAGATTGAAATTGAGTTGAAGTTGGAGGAGTTTTGTATGAATATTTTTGGGAGTGTTTTCCTTGGCAGGAATTATGACTATATGAGGGAGTTTTCCTCTCATTTTGGATGGTTAAAGAGAAGAGTAGAGTTATAGATAAGTAGAGCTTTGGTATGCACATGAGTTGTTTGAGGAAATGCCTAAGTGAGAAACTATCCTGTCACAGCCGTAACCTTCTGAGTGATTTTTAGGCATCCTACGGATTGAACTGGGTTTAGACCAAAACATAAAAGTTGTAGCCTTATCTCTAAGCTTTAAAACGAGACCAAAACCGTAGCAATCCGAGGTGTATAACTCAAGTTATGCCTTCTTGAGTGTGATCTATGCAGAATGACTGTTTTGATGCAATATTGCATTTGACATTTCATAAGTGCATTAATGAGCATGAACCATCTATATGCATTAATTGTGCATTGAGAAGTAGCTTGAGAAAGAGTAGAGAATGTTGGGTATGAGCTACATTATGAGTAATAGCTTGAGATAGAGTGGAGAACTTTGTGAATAAAATACTCTAAGAGTATAGCTTGAGAAAGAGTAGGGAACTTTGTGAATGAACTACTCTAAAAGTAAAGAGAAAAACAAAAGAAGAGAATAGAGTAGGTTGTGCGATGGGAAACCCGTGAGTAATGAGTAAAATCATGAGAGTGGGTGCTTTGTGATCCCTAGTCATGCCTCCGATAAGATGGGGCCGTGACTATCACGAGAGTGGGTGCTTTGTGATCCCCACCCGTGCCTCCGGTAAGAAGGGGCCGTGACATTCGAGAGATAGAGAGAAAAAATATACACTCACATGGCCAAGGGTTCCGAATCCATGCATAACCGAGTCTGATCGGTAAAGAAATGAGTAAAAGTCACGTAGAGTGGTAGCGCCCAGCCGTGCCTCCAGTCAGATGAGGCCGTGACATTCAAATGAGTAAGAATGAGAAAACAGGGAAATAGAAAGAATAGAAAGAGAAAATGAGTAGAGTCATGAAGAGTGGGATGAGTCCTCAGCCGTGCCTCCGGTAAGATGAGGCCATGACATACACCTGAGAGTGTATAGCAAAGAGCATGAGAAAGAGAGACAGAAAGAGAATCAGTAGAAGTCACGTAGAGCGGAAGAAGTCCCAGCTGTGCCTCCGGTAGGATGGGGCCGTGACTGTCATGAAGAGTGGAATATGAGGTTCCAACCGTGCCTCCGGTAAGATGGGGTCGTGACATTTAAAAAAAGAGCTAGTAGAAAAGAATTATGAGAAATGAGAAAGAGATAATAGAGAGAATTAAAGGATGAGAAAGCTTGAGAAAGAATGAGATGGAATGAGAGGTTTTGAGCTAGTAAGAATAGAGAGTAGAAGAAAGAAACATGCAGTTCTTTTGCATTAATTGCATATACATCTCATACATACATATACCATGATTTCTTCCATGGTTAGTGAGAGTATGATGAGCATAAGAGAGAACCATGATTTTCCTTCATGGTGAGTATGATGAGCATAAGAGAGAACCATGATTTTCCTTCATGGTGAGTATGATGAGCATAAGAGAGAACCATGATTTTCCTTCATGGTGAGTATGATGAGCATGATTTTCCTTCATGGTGAGTAAGCATAAGAGAAGAAGAAAAGAGAATGAGAACAGAGAGAAACAAAGAATAAAAAATAGCAGAACAGAGTTAAAGGAGAATAAAGGTATTAGTAAGAAAGAGAAAAACAGTGAGAATTAGAAATAGAAGAACGGTAGAGTAAGGAAAGAACCAAAGAGTGAGTTGTGGGGACAGGTAGTAGAGGATTTACTTACTGAGCATTGTTGTGCTCACCCCACTGTTCTTCCTTGTTTGCAGGAATTAGAAGCAGCCGTCGGATAGACGTCAAGAAGCAGAGAGTATTGGCACTACTGTCCACCAGTTATGATATTTTGTATTAAGGAGAAAGTTTTTAATACATAGTATTTTGTATATGTAAAGAATTATATTTTATAAGTAAAGAAAAGTTTGAGCCCACTATCTTCCATACGCTATGTATATCTACGCTATGTATATCTATAATTTGTATAGTATGCATTATATGAATAGTAGTAGAGAGCAGGTGTTACACGAATAGCCTATCACACGCCCGTCAAAGTAAGATATGTTTCATTTAATGCATCTGCTGCAAAGGAGCAACGATTAATATCTGAAGAGGTCGTTGTATAAAACACTCTTCGTCAGGTCGATTGCGAAGCGATGTGACTTTGTTCTCAATAGACTCAAGTATACTCAGGTCGTGAACTTGGGTCGAAGACCAAAATCGTTGTTACGGCACTGAATGTCTCGAACAGGTTGAGGACCTGAAGGGAGATCACTTTTGGTCGCCTGCATCAGAATGTTTTCGCGACCTCTGTACAACCAGGTCAGAGCTGTCGATGTCCATTCGACGCATCAAATCCAGGCATGATTTCATAGTTTCCAAGGTTTAATCCTCAAACCTTAAAAACTAGGGGACTTCTGTTATGCCTGAAAAAGTAGGGCTGACGCCAAGCCTTGTCAACAAGGAAGGTTTTCTAACCGTTCGAATATAGCCACGTCGCTTAGTGACATAAGCGGTGTGCTCCTATTAGTACAAGTGGGTATGCGCCAGGTTGGAGGTTAGGAAAGGTCCACATGTCAAATCCCTGCGCAAGTTAAGGAAATCACTTGGAAAGGTGAATAATGGGGGGCAGAGGGAAGGGTTTACACGATACCTACCCCGCTTGCATATTTGGTAATGATTACCTTATTTCTTCCCACTATAAATAGAGGAATCCTCTCCCGTTTGTGAGATTAGCTAATTTCTCTTTGGAATAACATATATATTGTCTCTCTTTGACAATCACTTGTAAATCAGCTTGCTAAATGCGACCTGATCTCATAAATCAATACAATATCAGTGGACATATGATTCGCTTGTTTAAGCATCCGAACCACTTTAAACATTGTTCTCCTTTTCTTGTTCAGTACTATTAATCCTTCCAAGTGTGTCTTCTAAGCCAGCTTAGTATTTCACACGTGCGAATCGTTGGTGTTAAAATCAAGTATCAACAATCATAATATAAAACTTGCAACTATTAATATTAAACTTGAAACCAAAATTATTTGGTATAAAGAATATTAGATTTGAAATTAACAAACTCATACTTAAATACCTTCAACATCTATTAGAAACCTATTTAATAAAAAAAAATGACGAGATATTGGAAAGGTTCTTACAGGAGCATGAAGAAAGAGCAAACAGAGAGAGTGAGAGATCAGGAAATAAAGATTAGATGGATATTCTCTTGGAGGTTTATCATGATGACAAAGTAGATTTCAAGATTACCAAACACAACATCAAGGCCTTCTTTTTGGTACATGAGATTAATTTTGGTCCTTTTACATTTACTTTTTTAACTTTCACTCTTCCAATTATCCAGTTTCTATTATTATTCAAAATATGACTCTAAAATTTTCTAATATACCTGCAGGATATGTTGGTTGCTGGAATCAGTGGCGCAGATGAGGCCGTGAAATGGGCCATAGCAGAGCTTATTAACCATCCTGATGTGTTTAGTAAAGTTAGAGAAGAAATTGAATTCGTTGTTGGAAGAAGTAGACTAGTTGAAGAATCAGATATTCCAAATCTTCCATATTTGCAAGCAGTTGTGAAGGAATCATTCATCCACCAGCTCCTGTGATAGTCAGGGAATGCTATGAAAATTGCAATATCAGAGGCTTTGATATACCTGAAAAAATGACGACAGCTATTAATGTATGTGCTATAATGAGGGATCCTGATTTGTGGGAGAAACCAAACGAGTTCCAACCTGAGAGGTTCTTAGATTGTCCCAAAGAACAAGATAATAACCAAGATGGTGAAACAAAGAAACAACTTCTCAATTTTCTTTCTTTTGAAGGAGGAAGAAGAAGCTGCCCGGGTTCACTCTTATCATTTGCCTTGATGAATACTGCAATTGCTGTAAGGGTTCAATGCTTTGATTTTGAAGTAGATGGACATGACGCTAAGCTTAAATTGGAATCTGGAACAGGCATGTCATTGAGCTTGCCTCAGCAACTTCTTTGTCGTCCTGTGGTTCACTTCAATCCATTTGCTTAAATGTATATTGAAGAAAATAGCATTTGTTTAACTGCTTCTCATAGCAAATTAATAAAGGAAATAAAGAATTAATCTGCAAATTAAGGTCTTATCCGATTGCACTCTCTACTGTTGTATAAGTATTTCTGCCTAACAACTTTTGTATTGAAATTTGTTCTTATATCGATTCTTACGTTTTTTCTAGTAAATTTGGATAAAAATAAAATTAAACTCACGACCCATCGTCTACCACCTCACGTTTCATGAATTTTCAGCAATCTGCATATGGGACAGCGATAACCTTGATTCTCTCCAAAGAGTATTTTATCTCCATATATAAACTGACTTTGGCCGAAATGAGAAGTTGACAAAATGCGTTTTGTAAGATCCACCAAAGCTGAGAACAAGAGAAAATAACAGAGCGAAAAAAGAAGTGCAACAGAGAAAACACTAGGGAGAATTTTTAGGTCTTAGTATTTTTGTTTTTCATTGAATTATGAGCTTAAAGCTCACTTGCTCACATACATCTGTGTTGCGTAATTTCAGCCGAGAATCATGGAATCCATTAACTAACACTCAACTTAATGCTGACGTGGATCAACTACTTTAACTAACTTAACTATACTTTTCAGTGCTCATCACATCAGCTTACACACACCTGACACTTCTCAGCTACCCATTAATTCTCTGACTTGGCTTGACATAACTTCAACATGTTTTGAAGAATTCCATGTGTCACACCCAAAAGGCTAATCTATTAGGTAGAGGGACTCCTCCCATTTATAAGTCCAAGACCTCCCCAATACGCTTCCAATGTGGGATTTGTTACATTCTCCCCCACCCAATCCTGTGACGCCCTCGTCATAGGTGGGGCCCCCTGCCTGCCCATCCATCTCACTCTCATGTGGACCCACAATCACACGTGGACGCCCCTGCGTGAGCGCTTGGCGGAACATTGAAAGACAGATTGGATCTGCTCTGATACCACTTGTCACGGGCTGGGAGTTTCACACCCAAAAGGCTAACCTATTAGGTGGAGGGACTCCTCCCATTTATAAGCCCAAGACCTCCCCAATACGCTTCCAATGTGGGATTTGTTACACATGGCTACAGAAACTAACTTAATTATGATCTGTTTTTCAATGGAAAGCTAGATTTTATCAACCAATTACTAGAAGATCGAACAAACTTAGTTAGAGTATGTGGTTTATATTGTCTCTGATCATGACTTTGGTTATAAGAAAGACTCTGTATTAAAGTAGTTGAGATACAGTTTCTCTAATTAATTGATCAATGTTTCAAAATTTTGAAGATCTATTCATGTAATTAATTAATCAATTCAAGGCAAAAGATAACTAAAGCAAAAGGGTGCTAACACATAGCATTGTATTCCATATTCAATATATCTCCGAATTAAATGTGGAATTTAAGCTATGTAATTTATTAATTTAATTACAGAAACAGTTTCCCAATTACTCTATTACACAGTCTTACTTATAATCTAAAGTGATGATCAATGAAAAAATAACCACATAATCTAACAGATTTTATTGGATCTTTTTGTTAAAGTATTTTTTTTGTTTGTTAATGTTGGTTCAAAGAAGAAAATTTCAGAGTAAAAATGAGAGATTGAAAATGAAGGAGACGGCAAGATTTAGGGATTTTTTTCTCTGCATTTCATTCATTGAACAGAGCAATGTATATACAAACTTACGTCACTGTTTTACCTACTGCAGTAAAAGTAAAATATTACAAATTCACTTTTAGCAAAAAATATGTACCAACCCAAGTCAAGTCTCAACAAAACATGACATAAAGTCTTCACATGAGTGGCCTGATATCTGCTCCATAACCACTGCAATCTTAACAAAAACAAAAGCTGAAACTTTGGCTCCAAAAATCAGGTTTGAATATCCAACGGAACTTGTCCCATTTCTAGCAGGTTATCACCTACATCATCACTCCTCTTTGATAAGCTTGCTGGAAACACCAAGTCTAAGTCTCAAACTCTCAAACTCGGTTTTAGGTAGACCCTTGGTCATGATATCTGCAAGTTGATCTTCACCCCTGCAATGGATTAGTTTCACTTCAGCATTACTTTTAGCTTCTCTCACGGCATGGAACTTGATCTTGATATGCTTTGTCCTGCTGTGTAGGATTGGATTCTTTGCCATAGCCACTGTTGATTGATTATCACAGAAAATTTCATTACGTTCTTCTTGAATCTGCCTCAAATCTATCATGATTTTTCTCAACCAAATAGCTTGGTTAACTGCGGTAGTAGCAGAAATGTATTCTACTTCTACTGTGGATTGAGCTATTGTGTCTTGCTTCTTGGAATGCCAGCATATGGCCCCTGAGTTCAAGAAGAATACATAACCTGATGTACTCCTCATATCATCAATACATCCAGCCCAATCACTATCAGAGTAGCCAACAAGCTGCAATTTTTCAGCCTTTTTGAACCATATTCCAAGCTCAGCACTTCCTTTAATATACCTTAGCACCCTCTTGGCTGCCTTGAGATGAATTTCACTTGGATTGGACATGAACCTAGAGAGAACACTCGCTGCGAACATTAAATCTGGTTTGGTGGCAGTCAAGTATAGAAGGCAGCCTATGATGCTTCTATACATTGTTTCATCAATCTTCATAGCCCCATCATCCTTACTCAGCTTTAAATTCACAGCCAGTGGAGTATCCACTGATTTGCATTTTTCCATATTGAATTTATGCAGAATTTCAATTGCATACCTCTTTTGATTGACAAATATCCCATGGTGACTTTGGTGGATTTCCATCCCAAGAAAGTAGGACATCTCCCCTAGATCAGTCATCTCAAATTCTTTATGCATGGCTGATTTGAAATCATTAAGTTGAGTTGAGCTGCTCCCCATGTGAGTAGGTCATCAACATAGAGTGAAACTATGGTAAACTCATTTTCCAGCCTCCTAACATATAGAGTGTGCTCATTAGCACTCCTTGCATAACCCAAACTGATCAAATACTCATGAATTCTGCTATACCAAGCTCTAGGAGCCTGTTTCAAGCCATATAAGGCCTTTCTCGGCAAATACACCTTATGCTCCTGCCCTTCCACTTCATATCCCTCCGGTTGCTCCACAAAAATTTTCTCATTGAGCCAACCATTTAAGAATGCTAACTTGACATCTAATTGGTAGATTCTCCACTCAAATTGGGTTGCCAATGCAAGAAGAATCCTTATAGTATCATGCCTAGCCACTGGTGCAAAGGTATCCGAAAAATCCACACCATATTGTTGAGCAAAACCCTTAACAACTAGTCTTGCTTTATGTTTGTACACTAAACCATCAGGCCTTTGCTTCCTTTTAAAAATCCATTTTACTTGGATCACTCTCCTGGTTGTTGGTCTGTCAACTAACTCCTATGTTCTATTCTTCTCAATCATGTTTATCTCCTCCTGCATTGCATTCCTCCAGATTTCAGATTTAGCAGCCTCCCTGAAGTTTGCAGGTTCAAGCTTGGCTGTATTACATCTCTCATAAACCTCAGCTAAAGACCTTGTTCCCCTAATTGGAAAATCATTATCCAAGTCTGCCTTTTCTGGAATCTCAAATCTGTCCACTGGTGCATCTGCAATCTGCTCTATTCTGTCTATTTCAGCTTCATTTTTCACCCAGTTCCAGGTCCCTTTTTCATCCACCCTCACATCCCTTGTGATGTGTATCTTCTTGGTTGCAAGATCATAGATTCTATAGGCTTTGGACTACTCACTGTATCCTATAAAAATTCCTGTCACAGCCTTCTCATCTAGCTTACTTCTTTTAGCTGTTGGGATGAGAGCATAACACACACTCCCAAAAATTTTCAGGTTTCTAACTGAGGGCTTCATTCCATACCAAGCTTCATAGGGTGTTTGATTTGTTAAGGCTTTAGTAGGGAGTCTATTAAGCAAATAGACCCCTGTATTTATAGCTCTGCCCAAAATGATTTGGGCAGCCTCTTCTCAGTAACCATGCACCTTGCCATCTCCATTACAGTCCTATTCTTCCTCTCACTAACTCTATTTTGCTGTGGAGTATAGGGACAACTAAACTGGTGAACAATTCCAGCCTCCCTGCAGATTTTCTCAAATTTGTTGGAAGTATACTCACTCCCATTATCACTTCTAACAGTTTTTATACATAGGCCTGATTGTTTTTCAACCTGCACTTTAAACCTCTCAAACATTATTGCAACTTCACTCTTTAATTTCAAAAAATACACCTAGCACAACCAGGAATAATCATCAATGAAGAGGATAAAATATTTGCTTCCATTTAGGGATGGTGTCTTCTTAGGTCCACACACATTCGTGTGGATGAGTTGTAGCCTTTCACTAGCTCTCCAGGCCTTGTTAACAGGGAAGGGTAATCTACTCATCTTGCCAAGTTGACAAGTAGCACAAATGGTTTTGTTTTCAGCAATTTCGGGCAGGTCACAGACCAGCTCTTTGGTTTGAGTTTCCTTAAGACTATGGTAATTTAGGTGGCCTAATCTCTTATGCCATAATTCAGTCTCATCTACATTCACAACACATGCTTCTAAATCTGGTTTGTTCAGCCTAATGGGAAAGCTTTTTCCTATCATCCTTACCTTCATCAATTCATTCCCTTCACTGTCCAGGATTGTGCAAAACTGATCATGGAAGTGCAGGGCATACTTCCTCTCCATCATTTGTCCAACACTCAAAAGGTTATGACTTAAACTAGGCACATACAAGACATTGGGAATGAGTTTGATACCTGATTTTGTTTGCACAACAATATCTCCTCTCCCTTTCACAGCCACAAATTCCCCATTTCCAACCTTAACCTTGGAATGGTAAGACTTGTCCAAATTCACAAAGTCTTCTAGGTTTGTTGTCATGTGATTTGTGCACCCACTATTTATCAACCAATCATCATTTTGAGCTTGAACAACAATGCATGAGGCCACAAACAACTGTTTTGGATCTGAATTTGGCTGCTGGTCCTCCACAATTTGTGCTTGCTGTGTTG